TTCCAATTGTTTTTCGCTTGCTTTTAAGTGTCTTTCTAATTCAGTGACCATTAATTGTTTCTTTCTCCACAATTCTTCTTTCCCTTGAAATACATTCAATTGTTCTCTTATTGTCAATTTTTGACTGGGTTGTTTTGCTCTCATCAAGTCATCTTCTAATGAAAATTGAATCAATTGTTCTCTCGTTGTCTCCAAGTCTTCCTTGTCATCTGGTTTTTCCTCGGCAGTCTCAACATGGAATAGGTCATCAAATAAGTTGAGCAATTGGCCTCTCTCGTTCTTTGTGTCGTCAATCTCTGCTTGCAGTTCAGTCCGTCGTTCTTTGTGCATGTTTAATTGCTCCTGAAAGGCTGTTCTACTTAACCCCGCCATTCCATTTCTTTTCCATTTCTTGGCATTTGTCTGTCAACTGAGTCTCTTTACACCTCAAAGATCATTTTTCGTTATTGTTTATTTCCTTGTTGTTCATCACGTAACATCTCCTATTTTTGACACAAAAGGAATCACAATTAGATCTGAAGGGAGGGTGGTACATGTCACCAGAAATGCGGACGCACGTGGCCAGCCTCGTTCCCAGGGCCTTTGAGGAAAAGTTGACGCGTCGCTAGCAAGTGCTGGCGAGCGATGAACGAGATTGCCAATTAGCGCGCAACCTGGTCACACCAACATAAATACTTGTACTTACACCCACCCAGACCACCAGCAGTGCACGTATGGCCTTGTAATATGAATCCAGGATTTGCTAGTGGCGTGATTTTCTGGAAAATCTAATTTATATGTGAACTCCGCGATGCGTGCATTTTTCCGTTGAACGAATTGCGAGTCTGCCCGTCTTAGTTTTGCAGGTTGATTTTCTCCGACGTTGCACGCACGATAGGTCACTTCTTACAGACGAGGAAAAGAGTTGTTCGTTTAAGCTACTTCATCTGCTTGTGACCTTTGCCTTGATGCCAGTGTCACAAAAATGTATGCTGGCATAAACCACGACAAAACTCTAGGAAAGCGACCAAATCGGAGTCGATGTCACCGTGGTGAATAATATTTACAGTCTGTAGACAGCAGGCCGCAACCTGCAACCTTCTAACAATACCCTACAATCATAACATCGTCCGGGTGAGTGTAGTCCTGAGAAGGACTGTTTTGTGGTGGTGACATTGACTGACGTTTGGACAACCTGAGCGGACGCAAAAGAATTCATCAGCAGATTCTCAAATTCATTAATACTTTATGAAGAGAAAACAAAGGAAATCACTACCGTGAGGGAGGTTTGGATATGTGATCCTAATTATCATAAAATTGGGTGAATTTTTGCTTTGAATTTCTCCAAGAATTATTAATACTTTAAGAAGCTATATCAAACACTCGAAAGAGTGTTTCATCAGATTATTGTTGATGTCGCCATTTCTCGTCGCTCGTTTGTCCTCAGTCAGCATTTGACCTTGCAAACGGCTATTTCTAAAACGGGAAAGAGGAATCGGAAAAAGAGGAACGGGAACGGGTGACGGGGAACGGGGAATCTCTAAAAGGGGAAATCTCTAAAAAGGGGAATCTCTAAAATAGGGGAATCTCAGAAAGGGGGAATCTCTGAAAGTGGGAGTCTCTAAAACGGAGAATCTCTGAAACGGGGAATTTCTAAAAGGAGGAATCTCTAAAACGGGGAATCTCCAAAAAGGGGAATCTCTAAAACGGGGAATCCCAAAAAGGGGGAATCCCAAAAAGGGGGAATCCCAAAAAGGGGGAATCTCTGAAAGGAGGAATCTCTAAAACGGGGAATCTCTAAACGGGGGAATCTCTGAAAGGAGGAATCTCTAAAACGGGGAATCTCTAAAAGGGGGAATCTCTAAAAGGGAGAATCTCTAAAACGGGGAGTCTCTAAAAGAGGAGTCTCTAAAAGGAAGAATCTCTGAGTTTTTCACACTCCTCAATCTTCACTCACTGCTCAATCCTCCACCTCACTTTTATTACGAAAGTTTTTCTCAACGGAAGTTGAGAATTCTGCAACTACAAATTAATAAAGTTTTAACTGCAACAGATTGTGAAACGGAAAA